TACGCAGACACACTGCTTTCACAGCAGAAGAATGTCGCATCGAGGCTGTGGCCTACAAACCCAGTAAGCCAGTGTTCCCAGGGGTTTACTGCAATATTATTTTGAGGGATGTTTTGGATATTATATTGCCTTTTGACTTGAAAATCAAGATTCTTGTTAGTCACGCTGTGTCTTGATGTACAATGGGATTTTATTTTTCTATACATAGAAGCACATTCCTAAATAGCAGCTAACAATGTGACAGAGAATTTTACAAGTCATAAATTAATAAACCTAAATACCCCCCAAGTCTAACTTCTGTCATGACATGCAAACAATTTAATGATTGAAACAGTCTTTACAAACATTTCAACCTTAATTAAATTGATTCTTAATATTCATAAAAGGACTGCACCACATATAATAGGATAAAATAAAGATAAAGTAAAATAGAATAAAATAAAATACTGTGAGTCTTATTCCAGATGTGCAAATTGTCACATATAAAATTGTCTCGTATTCGGGAGGTAGGTTCGACTGTGGTTCCTAAGTTCTTTATACTTGAAGGGTCTTGGTGTCTTTAGTCTCCTTATGTGGGTGAAAAAGAGACCAGATAATCCGATAGTGCGGTAAGTCAGGGCTAAGTAGGCCTTGTATTAATAATAATAATATTGCACTCACATATAATGGAGCTATGACCAGCTCTAGTGTGGATCGCCTCTAGTGGTATAATCCCCACTTATGTGATATGGTGGTGGTAGGTCTCAGCTGGTAGTTGTCTAGGTCAGTGTTTCCCAACCCAGTCCTCAAGGCACACCTACCAGTCCAGGATTTAGGGATTACCCAATTGTGTCTAAGGTGTTTTTTTTTCTTCTTTGTAAAAACACCTTAGACGCAACTGGGTAATCCCTTAATCCTGGACTGGTATGTGTGCCTTGAGGACTGGGTTGGGAAACACTGATCTAGGTGCTCGGAGAGAAAATAAGAATAGCCACAGATAGTGCTCTCAGTAAGACAATAATAGTTGTGTTGAATATAAAAAAATCATACTTACAAACGTAGAGCAGTCTCACTGCTCTGTGGTGACCGCATTGGTGGTATCATCCCCACCTAGGATTTGCTTGGGAGTAGTAGCAGATGAAGTGAAAAAATAAAAGATTTTCTTTTGGAAACTAAAAAAAACAAGAAGTCTCTCTTTACTAGAACTCCACAGCAGCACAGAAAAAACAACCAATCAGAAAAAAGTTAGGTACTATAAAACTCCCCTTCCCATACATCATTTCCTCTTTCTTTGCTGCTCTGCATCAGTACAGGTCAGAGTACCACTGCCTCCTGCTTCTAGTTGGTGGCTTTGGGATTTCATTATGATTTATATTATATTTAATTCATATTCGGGTTACTGGTTTTAGTACACTTTCTGCTTCCCCTTGTTCCCTTGGGGGTATTTACTTATTCGTTGTGGTGGTATTATGAGGGGTCCTTGAGATCTTGTCTGCCTCTTCCTACTGGGATTTTCCCTCCCCCCTCCCCACGGTTACCCCACTATCGAGTTTCACTTGTGTTTACTTTTTCCCCGCCTTTCCCACCGCGGGCTACGGGTGCTCTGCTCGGGGTTTCAGGAGGCTAGCTGTTTGGCTGCCTCCTCTGATTCCCCGAGCTCCTGTGTGAGCTCCCGGTATCTGGGGTACTCGCGCTCAGAGACTCAGAGGCTGGGAATACTGCGGTTGAGGCCGCCTCTGTTGGAAACGCAATGGCACGAGCCTCCCATTACTACCTCAACATAGAGGCATGGAGAGACTCTGGGCACGCAAGTAGTCAGGCTCGGACTCACCAGACAGGACCACATACACCTGGGTATTATGGGAAGGGTGAAGACCTTATGTCTGATGGGCCAGACCCTACGAATCGCCTGTAGTGGACAGTCTAGGTTTCACCAACCCAGCAGAGGCGTATCCCCTGGGCGAGTTTCATGAGGAAACACATACAATGCCCAGTGCTCAGGCATCCACGCACGAAGACAGGATTTCATTGCCTTTGAAATCCTATTCCCTTACTGCTAGTCCTATGTACTTTTATATCTAGGTAGCTTATCTAGGTCAGGCAAGTTCTTGGCTATTTCTGCTGGGTTTTCCCTATATTTTGCCTTTCCTGTCCGTTATATTTCTGTCCCTCTGAGGTATGTATTCTTACTCTATCTGAACTTTAGTTTGGTTCTGTCACCTTTTCTCTTTCATATATTCAGTTTCCTCTCGCCTGACATGACCTCCCGGGCTCTCGTGGATTGCGGATTACGTCTCCAGCTTTCCTCAGGCTACCGGCGGTCCGTTCATAGATTCAGTTTTTTTCCCAAATGTTAGGTTTTTCTCAACCTCCCTTTCTGTTACTATCGATGGGCACAGCCTGAAATGGAATGCTACCGTCTACCATTGGTCTGGTTTTTTTCCCAGTTGATCCCACCTCTCAGATGAGTGGTTCAGAGAGAAATCTCGTGGTGAGAGAGGGACCCTTCTCAGGACCTCAGTCCTACGCTGATATTATTACATTCGGTCAGCCTGAGTCTGGTACGGACTCTAGTTTGGATGGTAAGAGGGTGCGGCCCTCCATAACCTCGGCCCGAGACTGATTTTAATCTACATAAGTATAGAGCGAGCGCCTCTCATATACTGAACCGGACACTGAATTGTTATTAGAGGACACGACCCTCCCTCAACCTCAATCCGATGCTGATATGGATGCAGATGACAGGTTTTGAGTATGGCCCACCATCATGGAAGGAGCCGGACACGGATGTGGACATTAATTTAGTTACTGATGCTGACACTGAATTTGATTACATTATTAGAGAGTGCAGCTCTCTCATACACTTAACGCACTACTGTGCCTCCCCTTTGCTCCTCACACCGATGACTTCATAGAGGGGCGTCCCTCCTACAGTCTATTCAAGATGGAGGTACGTACCACATACCGGGTTTACTGCCGATGCTTCAGCTCTTGTAACAGGGGTTAGTACCTCACCAGTAGACAGGGGAGACGATGCTTCGTAATGACCGTATAAGAGCAGAGAACCCCTCCATTAGGTCTAGCGACGTGCTAGTGATTTCGCTAGAGAGGGCTACCTGATCGTGCATGGTATTCACGTTTAGACTGGATTTCTCTATTTGATCTCCTATAATGGATCTATTGGATCTGTGCCACTGTATCCCACTCAGGAGATACTCACTGAAGTATTACTGTGGGAGATCCCCAACTTATTTCCACGTGGCCCTGCCCTGAGGTTTTATGGGACAGTGTAGGGCCTGTTTGAACTGACTATCTTGGATACAGCCCATGATTGGCCCACTTTGTTGGCAGGGCCGCACTGGCCGTCAGCACCTGGGGCCGGGCAGGCAGCTGGCTCACCTGCGGCCGCAGAGTGAGCTCTTTAGGCGGCCGCAGGGGGAGCTGGCTCTTCTGGCGGCTGCAGTGGGAGCTGGCTGTTCTGTCTCTGCTCCCCCTCCCCAGCGCACTACAAAGAGACCGGGGCCGGAATATGACTTCATATTCTGGCCCCGGTCTCATTAAGTGGCACGCTGGGGAGGGGGAGCAGAGACAGAACAGCCAGCTCCCCCTGCGGCCGCCAAAGGAGCTTCCCCACAGGTAAAAATTGTGTGTCAGTGTGAGTGTATGTGTGTCTGTGTGTGTCTCTGTCTGTGTCATGGTGTGTGTCTGTCTGTGTCATGGTGTGTGTCTGTCTGTCTGTGTCATGGTGTGTGTCTGTCTGTCTCTGTGTCATGGTGTGTGTGTCTCTGTCTGTGTCATGGTGTGTGTGTCTGTGTCATGGTGTGTGTCTGTCTGTGTCATGGTGTGTGTCTGTGTGTCTCTGTGTCATGGTGTGTGTGTCTCTGTCTGTGTCATGGTGTGTGTGTGTCTCTGTCTTTGTCATGGTGTGTGTGTGTCTCTGTCTGTGTCATGGTGTGTGTGTGTCTCTGTCTGTGTCATGGGTTGTGTCTGTCTGTGTCATGGGGTGTGGGTCTGTCTGTGTCATGCAATGTGTGTCTGTGTCATGGTGTGTGTTTGTTATGATGTGTGTCTGTCTGTGTCATGTAATGTGTGTCTGTGTCAAGGTCTCTCTGTGTCGTGGTGTGTGTGTCTGTGTGTCATGGTGTGTGTCTGTGTTGTGTGTGTGTCTGTGTCACGGTCTGTCTGTGTTATGGTGTGTGTGTGTCAAGGTGTGTGTCTTTTTTAAGGTGTGTGTCTGTCATGGTGTGTGTGTGTGTCTATCTGTGTCATGGTGTGTCTGTCTGTCATGGTGTGTCTGTTTCTGTCTGTGTTACGGTGTGTGTGTGTTTCTGTCTGTGTTACGGTGTGTGTGTGTTTCTGTCTGTGTTACGGTGTGTGTGTGTTTCTGTCCGTGTCACGGTGTGTGTGTCTGTATCACAGTCTGTCTGTGTCATGGTGTGTGTGTGTGTATGTATGTCTTTACTCAACTTCCCCTCGTGCTGGTCTCCCCTTGCCCTGCCTCTGGCGGGATCATCAAGCTTGATGATCTCAGCCAATCCTGACACAGCACCTCTAGTGACCGTCTGAGTGTCTGTCACTAGGAAGCAATGTAAACACTGCCTTTTCTCTAAAAAGTCAGTGTTTACATTGAAAAGCCTGCAGGGACAGGCTATAGACACCAGAGCCACTACATTAAGCTGTGTGTGTGTGTGTGCGCGCCTGCTAGTGAGTGGGCTTGTGTTTTTATGTCAATGACCTTATGTATATCAGTGAGATTGTTTGTCTATGAGGCTGTGTATCAATCAGCTTGTGTCAGTGAGATTGTCTGTGTCTGCATGTGAGTATGCTTACTGTATAATTAAACGTTTTACTCTGAAAGGACCAATATTATATATTAGAAAAAGCAATATATATTCGAGATAGAGATATATATATATATATATATATATATATATATATATATATATATATATATACATACATATATATATATATATATATATATATATATATATATATTCAAGATATATATTGAATATATATATAATATTGGTCCTTTCAGAGTAAAACGTTATATAGATATATATATATATATATATATATATATATATATATATATATATATATAAAAACGTTTTACTCTGAAAGGACCAATATTATATATTTAAAAAAGCAATATATATTCGAGATAGATAGATATATAGATATATATATATATATATATATATATTTATCTATATCTATCTCGAATATATATTGCTTTTTTCATATATAGTATTGGTCCTTTCAGAGTAAAACCTTTATTACTCAACCATCTGGGGTGGCAACACATTGCCTTACATATTACATACGGCAATATATAGCGCAATGACTTATGGGGCTGGCATAGATTTCTTTTCCAGGGCTGCTTTGTATCCCCAGTCCGGCCCTGTTTGTTGGTGACCCTAGCCCTCCCTATTGGCTGTACTCCTGGAGATTGTACGGCTAATGGATGAGCCTCAACTATTACGAGAATGTAAGTTTTGGCATAATCTGCACTATATCAAACAAGCACTCTGTTAGGTTATACAGACCATTGTGAACACACTGCTCAGACAGCTTTTCCTATGTCTAGGTAGCAGGAGATTCTGAGGCCTTCATAGAGCAAACGTGCACTGCCTTACGCGGGTAACAAGGCTGGGGAAGTCCCACAACCCGGTCTGCAGATACACCATACACATAGATCTCATGGAAAGACCGGAATTCCCGGTCGACTTTGGGTTCCCTGGTCTTGGGACGGAGGATAAGATCACCTCCACTCCTCTGAGAACATATCGGGAGAACACGATTAGGATATGAAGAGCCCTTCTTCTATGCACTATCCCTCACGGGTACAGTCTTGGGTTTTAGTTTCCGCTACTCACCTATTTAACTACCGACAAGGAGGCCTACTTGGACTCTATGGGAGAACCTGGGGTGTCGCCAACTCCCAAACAGACGCCAACTCAGGATCGGTATCCGGCTCGGATAAGACTGACAACGCTCTCGATCTGGATGGCCCCTGCTTCGGACGATTGCAGCTAGGCCCTTGTTGTTCGCTATATCTGTTCTCGGGAGTCACCGGTCGTTTATGAGGGATTTTACGTCTTACCTGCATATTAGAGGACACTGTGAGCTCATGGGTCTCCAGGCCATGATGGCAGATATTCCTCTATGGGGATACCTAGACTTCGGACGTTGAATTCTATGCATGGTTCCCTTGGCCTAAGGCCTACTCTTGGAGATACATACCTGGACAGTCAAGGATACAGGGACATAAGGTCTCACTAGATTATATCTTATGTGGCATACAGACCATGAGTTCCTCCACGGATTTTGACAGGCCTGGACGGAGGCAGGATCGTACAAACGTTTATCGGATTATTTCACCAGGGCCGGCTCGGTTTTTTCACCAGCCTGCCTACTCTTCGAATCACTTTCGAATCCTTTGCGGCCTGCCACGCGTCTACAGCATGCGACGACTCTTCTTCGTTTGTGCAGGTCCCAATTACTCTTGGATCCGGACCACTTATCACTCCTCGACGATGATACATTTGGATGGTAACCTCAACCTCCAGTTACGTTCCCCTCATTTGGGTATATCCAGGACTACGTTCCCCAGAGTAGTCGATCACCGTTTCACTACACAAGTTCAGTGTTGGGAGTACCTCGTTCTACCACAGTTGCGGGTTACACAGTCCATTTGGAGTACTGGAGACACTCTTACCTTAATAATAGGTTCATTCTTGGACGAGACCGCTCACCGGGTAGGTCATGAGGGAACGATAAGACTCTCTTCGGTTCGGTTACGGAATTGGTGGTAGATTCAGATGCATTACCTGAGGTTGGAATTTTGTCTACAAGGCCACATCACCTGATTCTGGCACGATCGAAGAAACCATATTCCACATCAAAGGTCGAGACTTGGTGTCAGTTTTCTCGTGTTCCTGACTCGACGAAGGACCTTCGGTGTTTTACATCTACGGGAAATGGCTAATAGGTCAGATTTGCAGTTCATGGACATCTACTAGAAAACAGGTTGTAACCCCACGTACAGTGGAATTAACAGCAGATGGAGTTTGCTTGTATGTTGGGGTGCATCGACAGCTTGTTGTCTCTGCTACCTGTCACTTGTTCTTATGTCTGTTTTTCATAAGTAGGGTTGGGATCTCTACATATTAAGGTATTTTGGTTGCTATAGGGGGTACCTACATGTTTGTTCAGAGTACATTTCATTGGCTAACCAACCTGTTTGATTCTGTTTTTTTCTCTCATTTCAGTATACAGTCCATCAACGCTATCTGGTTTGGCTGTTCTTCTCGGATGGTGGACATTGTTGTATTCATTGTATCTAGGACTTCGTTTCTTCCCCATTATATTTTCTGCCTTTTGTTCTGTTTTGTCGCAGCTTGAAAGAGGAAATGATGTATGAGGAGGGGAGTTTTATAGTACCTAACTTTTTTCTGATTGGTTGTTTTTTCTGTGCTGCTGTGGAGTTCTAGTAAAGAGAGACTTAAGCAAATACTCACCTCCTGTCATTAATAAAATTAAGATTATAGGTACACTAAAGCTAGCATAATCTACAATTAGTCTTAAGGACTAGAGAGCTAACTAGAATAGAAATGCTTGTCTGAATCTGGCAATGACAAATTATGTTGACCTTATTCCAAGCATTCTCATGAAGATGCACTTAAAGAATAGTTACTGTAATAATACTGTAATCATTTGAGAAGATAACTTAAAAAAATATAATTGACAAAAAGTTGGATTTTAAAACCCAGCCTGGGCAACCAAAGTGCATCTCTAGAACAAATATATAAATAAAATACAAATAGTTCTGTAAAAGACTGTAAGTTCTGGACTTCAAAAGAATGCTCAATTTATTAATGCATACATCTAGCAGAGTAACACATTTGATTCCCTAAAGTTCATCAAAGCTCTTCCAATGAGATGTCACTGATACAAGAAAAAAAATATTTCTTTAGTTTAAAGTTTATAAAACTTAAGAAAAAAATAACTAAATATATTTTTTAAAAAGACAAAACATTAAAACCAAATCCGCAACTAATAAAAATGGGAAATTTGCTTTAATTTATGTGTTGGTATTAGGGAAGAAGATTGAATGGTAACTTAATGCTCTAACAAAAATATATGTGGGCAAGACAATGGCAAAGTACAGCAGTGTTAAATTCTAGAGGAAAATCTTACCTAAGAAAAGACCACAGATCAACAGATGTCAGCTGTCTAAAATTGTACGTGCACAGCATCTTCTACAGTCCAAAAATAACTTGAGTATTTACAATGTAGTTCACAGAAATCTGGAGTCTCTATCCTACAGCAAATTATCAGACTTATCACAAAGGTTATAGACCCTGATCTTCTCTTTCTTTATCAGATGACCGTTGTCATCTCTATGTCCTCCCGTCATGGAGAGGGAGAAAGATTGAGAATAGTGATGTGTCTCGCTATTATCCAACAGGGCTTTAAAAGTTTGGTAACGTCAAGCCTGCAGCTTTGGCTTCGGAAGGATTTGAAAGTGTCTTTAATATAATTTATAAAATGCAAACACTTTAGCACATTTGCAAAAAGGCGATGTTATTGGCTAGTTCATAAGTAATAACAATGTAGGCCACATGCATCATTAAAAAAGCTAGGAAACTGTAATGTACAGTATTCAAACATTCTTTGTATGAAAGTTGTTACTGTCAGCAGCTTTTCGTGTGTCTGCAAATGTTAGAGAAGCAACTGTGTCTGCTCATTATTGTTGGAAGCATTTGCTGGTTGGTGTGCATATGGAGCATAGATATGAGAAAGAATGTACCAATAGCATTTAGGCACAATTATTGCCCATTGATCAGGTCTACCTAGCTAACAAGTTTCAGTAGCTGATATTGTGATGTCTGTAAGTTAAAGGGAGGTAGGTGCTTTAGTTTCTCATAAACACTATGTATACCATGGAAAGTGGATCACTTATGAGTGTAGTTTGAATATTATTATTATTATTGACTTTCAAACAGTTTTTTCAATAATTGTTTACATTGACCTAAAAATACATGAAATGAACTAGTGTGCAAACATTCCATAAGTGCACAAAGTCTATACTTAATTTGATTCACTTTGTGTAGTTATTTCAATAAGGTTGTTTTTTATATCCCTAAAAATTAATTACATTTTTATATCTTGTTATCATATTCCATGTACAATAGCATTGGAAAAGACTATTTGTAACCCAACTGAAAACATATAAACATTATGCATAAGGTTTTCTGTTCTGTGCTAGTGTGTCAGGGTGTAACTGCTAGCTTTTTTCCCCTCTGGGTTCAGTCATATCAAAATAATCAATACATGTTTTAGCGCTTGCCTATGGATATATATTTCTCATAAACAGCCTTCTTTATAAAGAATTATAAAAAATAAAGAATTATAAAAAAAGAGAAAAAGGTTTACAATCCCTTTTAGAGTCAACAGTATCACCATTGATTCTTCACAAATGGCAATTATACTGCATATAGGATTACGGGTTAGACGGCAGATGCCACAGTGTTTGATTGAAATGTTTCTTGCAGTACTATTACATACATTGCTCTTTTTGTGCTCTGTAGTGAGATAGCAGCCTCTCTGGCTGAATTACTGCAATAAAATAAATGCTGGCAAAGGGTATATGTGTTACTGTGAGGGCAAGGCTGAACATTGGCAAAAAGCTGGCCTGGGCATTTGAAGGAAGAGCAGCCAAATAGGGAAGGGGGAAGTGGGGAGAGGGCAGGCATTACTGGCACAAACACACCACAAAATGGGCATTTCAGTTTGATGCCTCTCTAAGGCAGCCCATTTGCAGAGCCCAGCTGAAGAGCTCTCTCATGGGGAGTAATGATCTGTGTTTGTTTAATACTTGTTCCGTGTTTTCTGGTGAGTTGTCTCTGGTTTTCCCATAAGAGGGACACCAGGGGGCCAAAGATGGCCCGGGTTAAAGAGGTAAAGTTTGGGGGGAGGGTGGGTGGTGGGAGAGGAGACTGCATGTGTGGTGTTGTATGTGTTGTTTACTTGTGTCGTTTTTTGTTTGGTAGGTTACCTGTGGTGTTACATGCATGTGCGGTTATGTGTGTGGATAGGGCTGTTTGCAGTCTAGTGTGTGTGTGTCTGGAT